GGTCAGGGAACCAAGGTTCAAGTGGGATGCCAGGAAGTACTTCCTGACAGTCAGGACCCTGAGAGTGTGGAATGGGCTTCCCCGGGAGGTTGTTCAGGCCCCATCCGTGAGGGTGTTCAAGGACAGGCTGGACATGCACATGGCGGGCATGTCGTGAGCGGAGCCGGCTGGAGCCGGGGGTCAGACTAGATGGCCCGGGAGGCCCCTTCTGACTCGCGCTGTTTCTATGTTAAGTTTCTGTGTTAGGTTGCTTTTGAACCTGGGGCTCAGTAAGCAACAGCTAATGTGCCCAACCTGTGGCCCTTACAGTGGCACCTGGCTGTTCACGGCTGGAGAATTTTGAACAAACAGATCATCTGACCTAACAAGGCAATCTTTATGTATGGAAACCGGCCAAGAAATGAGGGGCACAATGATTAGGCCTTTGCCCCGTTCAAGTTTAGTTATAGGTTATCATACTTGAGGAACAAAGAAAAAAGCTTCCCTCTTGCAGGCAGTATTTTGCATCCATGGTATACCTATTCAAGCAAAGCTTAATTAATTTTGGTGGGCCCTGCAGAAATGCGGAATCGCCAGAAATGTTTCAAGAAGGAGGGTGTGGGCTCTGACCGTGCCTCTTAAACCCAGCACATCGGAGAAAAACGTCCTTCTCCTGTCTCTAGTTCTAAGGAGTGGAAAGCGAGAAAGCAAGTCCCCGCACTCCAGCCCTCCCCAGCTCATGTTTCATCGGAATCAAGGCCGGGCACAGGGCAGCCTGCATGCTTCCACTGCCTTCCTCCGGCCTGGAGCTGGAGGAGGGTGGTGGGGGCACACCAGCTTGTTCTGCCTGTGACAAATGGGCACACCAATCCTGCAGGACCTGCTGAGGGCAGACACAAAACCAAGCTGCTCTGCCTCCCATTTCCACCTTCAAACTGGAAGGGAGAGGCAAATGCACCCTGTCTCGTAGGGCTCGAGGACAGCGTGGTCGTCTTTCCTCAGGCTTCCAATGAACGTGGAGCTATCTTGGACATCAGAGCCTGGATTCCCTTTTGCCGTGGCGACTGAGATGACCGAACTCTGCATCCAACAGTCTCCTTCAGACAGAACCTAAAATCAGGCTAAAAGTACTCTGAAGCTGAAATGTCGCAACTTGGAAACCAGAACCAAAACACCGTTTTTTACACAATCCTGTTCTAATTATCATCTTTTTTGCACGTAAAGGGAAATAGCATTCCTTTAGTGGTGTTACATGAAGCCGATTAATTTTTTTAAAGCTCCACTATTTCAAATAACCTTTTTCTACCCTCAACAGTGCTGAGTGTTCCTAAGTGAGATTTCTCACCGAAACAAGACAAGACTTGGATGCTGCTGGTAGGTAATACTTTTGACTGGATGGGGGGCGGGCGGGGTTCGTCCTGTTCTCAATGGGGTTATCCTCCCTTTGCAGGACCAGGTTTGCAGTTTGGAGGTACTCTTTGATCCATCTTTGTCACCTCAGGCCCAGGTGGCTGGTCGCCCACCTATGTCCCTGTTCAGACAGGGATAACCTGGCTTCAGTAATCTATGCTCTGGTCGTCTCTAAATTTGACTACTGCAATGCACTCCACATGGAGCTGCCCTTGGAGACAGTTCAGAGGCTGCAGCTGGTACACCAAGCGGCAGCCACATTAATAACTGGGACCCGGAGGTCCAAATATGTAAGACCTGCCTGCACTGGCTGCTTGTATTCTCTGGTTCTGAGGCAAGGTGCTGGTTTTCACCTATAAAGCCTTATATGGCTTGGGACTGCAATACCTGTTGCAGCACCTTTCTCAACCTTTATCTACCCAGAGACTAAGCCCAACCTCTAGGGCCTTCCTCTGAATCCCAAACCCTCCAGTGGCTTTCATTGCTTTCATACTTAGTTGATCACACAAAAAGTTTCAGCTACAGGTGGTATAGAGATGATGATGATGATCAGACAAAAAGGGATGTATACTTAAAAAGGACTGGCAAAGACAAAAAAAAAAAATGAAACTGGCTAATTTTATAACTTATAAGTTTTAAGACACTGATAATTCCACCTTCACACTCCAATTTAAGCTAATACTTCCTTAAGAAATTGCATAACAGGACCCAGTATGTCACAGGAAATGGGATATTTATTTATTTAGCAAACTTATATGCCGTCCCATTCGCTGAAGCCTATTTGAAGGGTCAGTATCAAATATTGGTTCAATATAAGGAGATGTGTTTAGGGCAGCCTACCTCAGTGCAACATTCTCTCTGTTTCAGATTTTAATTCCTATCAGCCCCATACAACCCAGCCAAAAGTCAGGAATACTGGGAATATTAGTCTTAAACCTCTGGTTAGGACCGCATTTGGGAAGTTTTATAGTTTGCTAATACAGCTCAACAAGTATAAATATAACTCACATCTGAATATTGTTAAGTGTAATAAAACATCTGTATCAACACAAGAACAGTTATTTTTATACCCTGTACCATACATTAAATTTCCAAACTCACAGGGACTCTAGCTATATAAACCTACCTGTGAGTAATGCTTTTCATGGACCAATTTCACAGAGCTGCTTAGCAGTTGCACTTAAGTACAGTCAGAAGAAAGTGAGAAACATGCAGAGAGGTGTTGTATATACCAGGACAGTATTTCTTGAGATAAGCAAGCAGTGCATTGACAAAGGTACCAGGAATAGTTTTACAACATGGCCTGTATCAAAGGCACACAAGATGGTCCAAATCTTCTGGACAACATCATCTTGCCTACCAGTAGTCTACACGGCAGCAGCACTGCAGCCTACCATTTACTTACCTATTTCACAGAGCAAGTTGTTCCTAGCCAGCACTAATATCACACACATTTTCTATGGTGTTACACACACAAGCCTCAGTACTGTGGGGACTTTAGCAAAGTTTCTACGACTTTAACCCTTTAGGTCTAGGAAATTAGGCACTACTGAGGAGAGGGTAAGGTCAAAATACAGAAAAGCAAAGGAAAAGCAAAAGCTGTATGGAGGTGGGAAAACCAAGCTGCATCGTCAGCGGTTGTCAGCACGGTCAGGAATGCTGGGAGGAGCAGTCTGAACATCTGCAGGGCAATAGGGCAATGTCCAATGCTACTCCTATATAGAACAGGCCAACTGAAATGAATGGAACATGTTAATAATGACTAACTTAGATGTCATACATTCCAATGGATCTACTATTTAAAGGAAGAACACTGGGTTCTATTCCAGATTGGGGAAGCCTGAGGTATAGCTTCTCTTATTTGAGCTTTTCTTCATCGGGATCCTTACTTAGCACACTTCAAACAAATACATGCAAAGTGTATCAAACTATTCTTGTATTTTGCTGTCTTTTAAACACTTACTTCCCTGTCATGATTCATGATAAAAATCAATGCCAAAGAAAGCCTACTGCAAACCAAATAATACTAAATAACTCAAACAATATACCTGAACAGACTAAAAAGTACTAACATACAATCCATTGAAAAATAAAACATGACACATTTCCAAACACAACAAATGGTTTCATCGCCGACTCACAAATGCAAGACACATAAAACTCAAAAAAGCTGTTTGACAGGTGCTTGGCTGGCATTCTCTCACAGCGAGCATAATGCTACTTCACCACAGCCTGTAAAAATCAGGCAGAGACAAGGAGGGTGGGAAAGGGGGCTGAGTCCTTTCACAAGACCTTGGAAACTACCTGGTTCTCCTCATTGCCTCCTTGATCCATTAGGGATCTGCATGACCACACATGCTGGCAATGCTGGAAGCAATTTAGTAAAGTATATTTCAACTGATTTGTGTTAGCTCAAAATACAAGGATGGGATCCTTGCCAGTGGTGTGTATCTGGCTGCCTCTATCTGCAGAGCTTAGCAGAGCCAATGAATCGGGGCTGCCACTGTTGCACTGTATTTCAGGAGAAAAACCCACCCGATGACACGCGTGTAGAAAACACCGAGATTGCTTTGTTTCTCAGGATTATGCATGTGTTTGCTGCATGGGGAAAGCACAAATCAAAAACCAGGAAACAGGATCAGAGCCCCCATTTTCCTCGCTGTAACTGGAGAAGAGGAAGCATCCTCCTCCACCCCGTCACTCCTCAGATCCTGCACTTGCGTAACTTTTCGCCCGCTGAAGCCATCCAGCAGTGACTAAGTGATCAAAATCGGCTTCCCCACCCTGGCCACTCAAAAGCTCGGGCCCAATCCCGGGGGGGGGGGAGGGGGGGGGGGGAGGAAAGGACGGGCGGGGGTAAACAACTCCTTCCCAATCCTCTACGTACCCTCAAACGCGGAACTCACACAAACATGTCACTTTTTAATTCTGACAACCATTTTATGACTCGTTCGAGCAGCTGAACAGCAGGCCCCCTCGAGCAGAGAGGATAAAGACAGCTCCCTCTCTCTCTCTCTAATACAGGGTAAAACTATGCCTACGACCCTTCCCTGGCAGGCATCCCAGTATTAAAAATAAATAAATAAATAAATAAAACAACTGTTACTTCAGCTGGAAACACGCGAGCAAAACTTATCAGGGGGGCGAGACAGGGGCTCTCCCGAAGCGTTTCCCGGGCGGGGGGAGAAGTGCGGGAAAGCGAAGCCGGAGGTCGGGGAGCGCCGGGGGTGGGGCCGGCCTGGCCCACAAGGACAAGCAGCCACAGCAGCGGCGCTCGGCGCGGGAGGCCCGGGGGCGCCTCGCCCATTGCTAGGGAAACGAGGTTCATGGCGGGGGCGACGGCGACGAGGGCTCGCTTCCGCCCCGGCCGGGCCTCCCCGCCTCGCGTCCTCCGCCGAGCGCCCGCCTGCACTGCGGCCTGCGCGGCGCCCTCCCCGGTGGGGCGGCCGGGCCCTGCGGAACGCGAGGCCGGCGCTCCCCGCTCGCGCCCACGGGCCAGGCCCAGGCGCCGATTCCGCCGAGCCGCAGGCGGAGGGCTCGGCTCGGCTCGCGCTTCCGCACCGGCTGAGGCAGGGCGCGAGAGAGAAGGCCGCACGGGCGGCTCCGCTTACCGGGCGGCGTCGCGGTCGGCCTTGCTCCTCAGTGGGCTGCTCCTCCCTGCGCGTTTCCTCCCGTCGGTCCCCCCTCCCCGCCTGCCTGCCTCCTCCTCCTCCTCTCGCCTTCGCCTGCCTGCCCGCCTGCCTGCCCGCCCGCCCGCTCGCCGCGCGTCCCGCTCCCTCCCTCACTGCGCCCAGGCACACAAGATGGCGGCTCCCGGCGGCCACGTCAGTGCCAAGGGGCCTCGCAAGGCACGACGGGTAGCCGGGGAATTTCCTCCGCGGCTCTCGCTTCGCAGCGCGCTGTACCGCACGCGGCAGAAAGGGGGCGAGAGAGACGAGGCGGGCGGGGAGTGGGCGGGGCGCTGGCAAGGGCTCCCGAGCCGCGGCGGGCCGAAGAAGCGCGCCTGCGCAACAGGGGAGGCGTTTCGGGGTGGGCAAGGGGTAGGCGTGGCCAACATCCAGGGGGAGCGTGGAGAGGAGGGAAGGAGCGCCGGGAAGGCCTGCGAGTAGGGAGGGGGTATAGTTTGGAGAAGAGCGGCCCGAGCATGCGCGCTCGGTCCCCGGCTTGCGCCGTGCAGACCGTTGGAACGCCGGCAGGCGCGCGACGCTCGGAGAGGCGGTTGACGGGGCGGGGCAGCAACGGCCGCTCGCGCGAGGCCCCGCCCACGCGCCGCGCCCCTTCCTCGCCTCAGCGGCGAGGGGCTTCCTCGGGGAGAACTTATACCGCGCTTGCGCTCTCGTGAGCCTCCCAGCGCACCTCCCGTTTATCCTCACAACAGCCCTGTGAGGTAGTGCGAGCCGAGAGTGAGTGACTGGCCCGGAGTCACCCACTCAGCCTCGTGGCCCATGAGGACTAGAACCCTGCTCTCCTGGGCCCCCAGTCCATCCCCCCGACTGCCCTTTCAGTGCCCTCCTACTTTAAACCTGGATTAAGGGTGATGGGCAAATCAATAGCTATGCAATTACGTAGGTAAATCATGCCACCATTAGCACAAGCTAAACATTGCTGGCTGGGGGAGGCTCTCCTTTTACAGAGCAGCCCATGTGGCTGAACTGTGCAGGTGGTATCTCAAAGCTGACACATGACTGAGCGCAGCTAGAGCAAAAGAGCAATTGACACACGGCTCCTCTTCCCACCCCATCCTGCCTCCCATCTCTGAGGAACATTCCCTCCCACCTTTATAACATCTTCTTTCTACTTTGATATGCAGGGGGAGAAGTCACGCCATTGCAACTATACCTCTGCGGCCTATTAGAAAGTGTTCAGTGTGTTACGTGTAACCTTTGAATGAGCAATGGATAAGCGGCAAACCAAGATGTCCTGGAATAGTTCCCTGCCAACTGTGTTACTCTCGAGACTACACTTTTAAAAGAAAATCTTTGTGTTGTGTGATCCTGGGCCACGCTCACCAGGACACGGACCTCCTGATCCACCGGGGCTTAATCCTCTGTTTTCTTCGCCAAGTGCTTGAGTTCCAGCATCCCTTTCAGTCAGATGTGCTGATGAGAGCGTGCTGGAAATTTTAGGGTTTTTTTTTTGCTTTGCCTCAATATTTTCGATTTTTTTTTTATTTTTCGATTTATATCCTGCCTTTTTCCTACAAAGGGCTCAAGGCAGCTTACATCATTCTCCTCCGGCACCTTAAAGAACTGGAAGGCTGTGCTGGGTCGGGCTGAGGGGCCACCTCGTGAAGCATCCTGTATGTGTAGTGGCTGTGCAATCGCCCATGGGAAGCTCCCAGCACCCTCGTGCCCATGTTCCCCAGTAACTAGAGTGCCGCAGCATACTGGCAGGAGCATCTGGCCATCCGGACCAGCGGCCTTCTGCATTATTTTATAGACTCGCCGCCGCTTTCAAAGCTATTCAAATAGGTGGCCTTCACAACAGCTTGTAACAAATTCCCTGTGTACAAAAAGTCCTTTCTTTGTCCTGATTCTCCAGTCATCTTCATGGCGTCACCCCACTGGATACTAGCTGAAAGAGAATAATGTCCCTCATCTGCTCTCTCCACCCCATGCATAATTTTGTGTCCCTCTGTACATCTCCCGTTACTTCTGTTCTAAGGTAAACAATCCCAGGTACAGAACTGTAACTTTGCGTCACAGGGGAGCCTTCTCTAACCCCCTTGAACATCTTCGTCTTTCTTTCCTCCACTCATTTTCCTTTATTAGGTGTGCAGTGACTAGTACTGTACACAACATTCTAAGTACAGGTGCAACATAGATTTGTAGGGGAATATGATTGTGGCCATTTAATTTTAGTTCCTTTCATAATTGTGTGTAACATGGAATTTGCTTTTTTCCCGGCAGCCACGTGCTGACTTGGCATGCTCGCTCTTCTGTCCACAATCCCAAGAGCTCTTGACTCCTGATGAAAGTGAAAGAAGAAAGTGCAAAATTGGATTGCTGCTGAAATTTAAGAAACATCACACCAACAGAAGAATTACACAATGAAGAAATTGTGAAAGATTTTGTATACCAGATTGCAGTGAAGAAAATCAAAGAAGGCTGAAACTTGGACGGGTGGCAACGAAGGAACTAGAAATTTTCAGGACGTTTTACTGGAGACCAAGGGCAAAAAAGCTGATGAGAAGAAAATGGATGTTTGAAACATGGTGCTGGAGAGAGCTTTGTAAATGTCCAGGACCAACAGACAGACAAACCAGTGGGTCCTTGATTAATTCAAGCCAGGAAGCAAATTGACAAAACTCAGGCTGTCGTATTTTCGGTCCATCACGAGAAGGCAGGACTCACTGGAGAAGACAAAACAAGGGAAATGTAAAGGCAGGGGAAGAAGGGAAAACCCAAGTATGTGTGAGACTGACTTCATAAGAGAAGCCAGAGCCTCGATTTTGCAGTTGCTGGGCAGGGCTGTCAGGGATGGGACATGTTGGAAGACACTCACTCATAGGATGACCCTAAGTTGGCGACAACAGCGCTGCTAGCTCCAATCTCCTTGTAAACATGAAAGGTGGAGTTGACCCCTCCCTCCACTATGTTGTCATGTGAGTGGTTTTATTTACCCTTTTTAGCAGCCTCCAGTAACAGTTCCCAGGATATAACAATAAAATAATTCATTTTTACCAATTTGAAAATATTTTAGGTCATCTTTGGGGATAAGACCCTAAGGTGCCCAGAAACAGAAATACAAGAATAAACAGGAAGAGCAGCAATGGAAGTGAAACAATCCTAACGTTAGAAGTGGCCATAGGGTCTAACCCTTGCTTAGTGCAGGAATCCAATTTCAAGCAACCCTGATGGGTTTTGTTTATTTAGCTTCTGTATTGCCCAGCAGCCAAAGTTTCTGATTGAATAGTTTCTTCAGCAGCAAAGGAGAGCCCACCAACTCCCTAGGCAGTCAATTCCATTGTCCGACTGCTCTATCCGTCAGGAATTTTTTTTCCTAATGTTCAACCAAACTCTGTCCTAAGCTCATTATTTCATGTCCTGCAAGCTTGGATAATAAAGCACAGGATGTGGCCCTCTTCTATGTGAGAACTGTTTAGTCATTTGAGAAGTGTTAGCATATCCACCTCTCAAAGCTGAGCACAACTCCATTCAATCTTTTCAGGACTAACTTTCTAGTTTACTGTTGCTTTTGAGATGGTATCAAAAGAGAGATGGGAACACACAAAAATGAGCACAGATACTGTAAAAAAAAAACTTCCTAGAATGAGAAAGTGGGTCTTGCTAACAAGGAGCTAAGAAATCTTCATCTGCGAAGTATCTTGATAGTTAGCTACCGTTAAAGGCACAGGAGCAGAGACAGGAATTATTGGAAGAAAATTATTGAAAGGATAAAGATAATTCCATCGGACTGGATTTGAAGGCTGACTGCCATAACCTGTGGGGACAATTGGACACGTGTGTAATATGTGACAAAGGACATGGCATCTCTTCTTTGAGAAATTCCTGAACTCCAGATGCAGGGAAATAGCAGAAATCATCTACTGTTTCCAGAGAAACTTTAAAAATAAAAAGGAAAAAAGCTCACCCAGATATAAATCTGAGCAAGAAAATGATTCTTAGGTTGTTTTGCAGAATTGCACATTTTTTGATAGGATTTGTTTGCGATTCCCCCCCCCCCCCAACAGTTGTTCACTTCTCCAGGAGATTCTCATGCAACCATTTTTAAGAATTAAAAAAGTATGATAAATTATGGTGATGGATCTGTCAACTCTTTCTTGATAGGTCTTGGTCTGCTGGCACTAGGACACCTTAAAATCACATTTTCAAGATTTTCTCTTCAATTTTGTGAATCAGACATATAATTTCTTATACAAAGAACCCACAATGAAATTGCTCCAACAGCCAACCCTTGTGGGTGCACATGGAGCACTCTCTTCCGGAGTAGAGAGAGAGAATCTATCTGTATTACAAAGTATAATTTCTGTGGATTTTATATTTATGGGATTGGAGTCTGAGCACTTCCATTTTATCTTCTTACTCTTAAGTTGATAAGCGACACATTCTAGCAAGACTCCTGCCTCAAAACCCTTAATCCCTTCTAATGTTTAAGGTAAAAATTCATTTGCCTGGTGTCTCATTTTATGCCGGGGCTTGCATTTTTCATATTTTTCTTTGATGTCTGGTTAATGTGACTTATTTTTTAATTATTTAAAATTCAAAAGCTTGCCATCTCAACACTGGGAGAAGCAGTTTGCAGATGTATCAGTGTTGCGCCTGGTCCGTGAATTTGCATTGCGGTTCATAATATCTCATGCATTGAGCTTGGCTTTTTCAAAGCTAAGAACCAGCATGATATATTTTAATATGTATTATATACCGATGGAGATTATCGCCTGTCTTCCTTCCCCTATGGGGAACAGATTTTATGGTTTAGTAGGCCACTGACATCTCTAACCTCTATGATTCTACACAAGACACTGGGAGGAGATTTCTAGATGTCAACACCACAAATGGGATACTCAGATCCAACTCACGGGGAGTAATAGCTGAAAACTCATTGTCTATTTTGCCAGCACCAGCCTGTATCCTGTGAATATATTTCAAGATGCTGGTTTTATTTTAAAGGCACTGGACTCTGCATGCCACATAGAAAGGATTGGCAGCTTTTTGGAGGCGATTCTTGTCTCCAAGTAGCAGTCAGTTTTCACATTCGTTGTCACAACAGTCCCTTTTTCACCAAATTGTACCGACTTCATTATGG